ATGTGGAAAATAATGTGTTTTTTGAACCTTAAACCACATAAACACATTTCATTACACCAAATACACAAAATAATGTTCTTTTTTAGCAATGTCATATGACCCCTTTAAATATACAGGGATCAAAACAATTTAATATTTTTTTGACAAATTTGAAGCAAAACAAAGTTATGATTAATATTCAACAGAACATTGGAATGAAATGTAACATCTGACCTCATCCAGTAACTGTTCCGTTTCCTCCAGGTTTTTTTGATTGGAGAAGTTTGGCTGTTCTGTGTATACTTTCACCATTTTCTCTAAACCTGAAATCCAGATTTATGTGTCAGTGTTGAGCTAAATGTCATATAATGAACAATATAAACAGGACAGAACCACCTAATAAGATCTCTGAGGAATAAACCAGTTCTGTTTAAAGGGGGTCATATCATACTTCTTAAAATTCAGTTCCCTGAGGTCTAGTTTTCATGAACTTCCTACAGTTTTCACTCAGATTAGTTCTTCTGGTATTTAGGAATAACAGTATCTGTCCTGTTTCTTCCGTTTTATATAAATGTGCCCTTACAGGCAGATTTCTGGACACCAATAGGTGTCTTTGACATGTTCCTTCAACTTAAATGTTCACGATATGACCCTTTTAAATCACATACACTCAGCTATGAATCACAGTATCTACAAGATCCAAACCTTCTCTGTCACTTTTTGATTTTGTGATGCAGTCCTCCAGACGCTGAAGTTTGGTCCTGATGGCATCTTTCCTTCTGTCTTTTCTCATGACTGTTTTTCCTTCTTCCTCCTGTATAAACACACACACACAAACAGCAACCCATTTCATATCAATTCTGCAACACAAATTTGTGTTGTAAACTCAAAAGACTTACAAAGTAGTCAGCCATGAGAAATTCAGCTTTGCTTTCATCCGCTGTAGCGCTGACGTCCTCGACCAGCGACTGAATGTCCTTCTCCACATCAACTTTGCGTATGGCCTGCTCGATCTGTTTATGACTCTGTTATCAAAAACATTCAGCAAATCCACCAGTAAGACTGACCTGAAGTCAGTTTAATCGCTTCAAGAAATGCTAAAATAAAAGACATCATTGCTAGGCTTAAATTAATCTTCACTTGAGCTAGTTTTTTTTCACATTAAATTTAAAATGTTGCCTTTTAAAGTTGAATTTGAATTAAGGTGTGTTGCAGAAAATTCTTTAAGAATTCAAGGGGAAAAATGTGTCGGTGTAGCTTTTATTTTATTGGATTATTTATTTTATTGGATTATTAAAAAGAAAAAAAATGGTTAAGGAGCAGGTTAATTTCCACAATACTTACATTTGCTTTAAAGCCTTCAAAACGGTCTAAATATTAAAGAATTAAATCCATTTTCAAATGTATTTTAAATTATTTTAATAATAAAACAGAATTAAAAATAAAAAAAAATAGATAATATTGAAGCCAAATATTTATGTATCTTTATGAGAATATAAAAAAAACGAAGTGTGGACCTTTTGTGGTTCTGTAGGCTAAATTATTATTATTGTTTTATTTTTTATTTATTTTTTTGGAATGTATTGAAAGTACTGCATTCTATTTTAATTCATTTGTGGTCATTTAAATTCAAATTCACACTTGTAAATTCAAAGGGAGCATCTTAAAATCAGAATTTCTCCCAGCACTTTTGAATCTGTTAAAGTTACCTTCAGTGTTTGGTGGGTTCAGTTACTCACGTGAACGACAGTCTGTGCGTAGACAGTCATGAAGAGACTGTACTTGTCTAGGGTGTTGGACAGAGTCTCTATTCTTTGCTTCTCAAGCTCCTGAACAATCTGAAACGCAGAACTGAATCAGTCAAAATGCAATGGATTTCAGAGATGAAAATGTAAAGATGTGGAAATCAGCTGGAACCTGATAGCAGGTTTTCAGCGTGTTCTCCAGCTTCAGTCGGATGTGGTGACCCTCCATGTTGGTGTTAAAATATTCCTCATCAGCTCTGGCCTGAAGCTCTGCTGATTTAGTCAATCTGTTCAACATCTAGATGAAAATAACGTCACAAAAATACCTGTTAATTGCTTTTCCCTATAGCCAATTAACCATCATATTTACCTTCTGTTTTTCCTTCTCTGTACAGATTTGCTTATTTTTCTCCACAAAGCTGAAGAGAGCTTCATGTTCTCTCGTCAACCCAATCAGCTTCTTTTTCAGCTGTAAAAACACATTTCTGCTCAAAATATATCCTCCTCATGGCAAAACAAGATGCAAAAGTACTTTTGAATCTCACGTTAATATAGTTTTTTTCTGGTCAAATCTCGATAAACATACTTCTAGCTGTACCTTTTCTTACCTTAATTTGTTCACTCCAGTTTGTAAGAACAAGCTTTCCGGACTTTTCAACAGCATTGTCAAGCTGTGAACATACGAGACTTACTGTAGTGTAAACATGCTGCTGTAAATCGCAATATAAATATATGCATAAACATTAAAGAAGTAATTCACCCAGAAATTAAAATGTACCAATGGATCCTCTGCAGTGGATAAAAACATCACAATAATCCACAAGTGATCCACACCACTCCAGTCCATCAATGAACGTCTAGTGAAGTGACAAGCTGTGTGTTTGTAGGAATCGTCAAACTGTTGATTCCTGCTAAAATATGAGTCCTCCATCCATAATGTTGCTTTCTCCAGTGAAAAAGTCATCTTGTCTGAATCAGGAGAGAAATATGAACAGACCAAGCACCATTTACATGTGAAAACAAAACAAATATGTGGGTGGATTTTGATGTGAAAGGACAACAGGACTTGGACTTTTCACTGGCGGAAACGTTATTATGGATTATGGACTCGCATTTTTTTCAGATGCGAGGGTTTAAAGTTAAATGCCTTAAAGATGGATTTGTTTTTTATAACCACGCAGCTTTTCACTTCACTAGACGTTAACTGATGGACTGGAGTGGTGTGGATTACTTGTGGATTATTGTGATGTTTTTATCAGCTGTTTGGACTCTCATTCTGACGGCACCCATTCACTGCATGAGGATCCATTGGTGAGCAAGTGATGCAATGCACAACTTCTCCAAATCTGTTCTGATGAAGAAACAAACTCATCTACATCTTGGATGGCCTGAGGGTGAGTACATTTTCATTTTTGGATGGACTATTCCTGTAAGTGACATACCGGTCTTTTTCTTTTGCCGTGTTCATCTAGGATTTGACGGATTTCCTGAATAGCATCTTGGTTGAGAGCATTTGCCAGTATGCTGAAAGAATAAGCCTGATATAAATACACAGCAACCCACATGAATAATAAAAAGAGGCTGATCCAGTGCAGTGTCGTACCGGTGGGCATCTGCTGAGGCGTACATTTCATCTGAAATGAAGGACCACGCACGATATGTGGAGCTTTGAAGAGGAAAAACTGTCAATGAGTTTGCAAGACAAGTGCATCAAATATTAACCTGCACTGCTGACGCGGTTAACATGACGTGCAAAATTTGGTCTTATTTTCCAGTTACACTAGCTACATGAAAAGCAACACTATATAAGATACTAAGTGTTGTTTTCCGAATATGTATTTTTAATATGAGTTTATTTTGTCTTGCACTTGTTTTTGACTTCTTTATACTTAAAACAAGTGGGAAAAAATGTCATTGCATTAAGACAAAATACACTCGAATTAAAGATATGAGAAGATCTAATATCTTCTGATTTTTTGCTTTCCAAGTAAATTCAGCTTGTTTAAAAGATTTTTAAATATCTCACTTATAATTATAACATTTTGCCTATAATATTATTACATATATTTTTACTTGTATTTTAAAAATATTTTATAAATTCCTTCTACTTCATTTGCATGTTTTAATGTTTGCTCCTAAAAAACTGGAAAAAATTAAAAAAACAATTTCGATATTAATCATTCAAACCTCATAAAATGAACTGAAAAATATATATAATATCTAAAAATATATTAGTGTATATTTCCTCACAATGTTAGAGCACACATTGATTTTGGGACTAAACTTTTTTTTTTTTTTAAAGATGTAGCACCCATTGTTATTTTTATAATATTTTTATTCATATTATATCTAGCTTGAACTCCTGAGGTTGATGATTAGATAGATAGATAAATAGACAATCTATCTCACTTGTCACACATCTCTTTCGAGACTTTAAGAAGTTTCCCTGCGATCTTCTGAAGTCCTTTCGAATAGTTGATCTCCAGTTCAGATCTAAATTCACAGAAAACAATGTCTGTTGTATTAGTCATGCTTGTTTGCTCAGGTCAGTGAGATTCTGCCCTGAACATTTCAAGGATTTCAGGGTTTTGGAGAACTACTGTATTCTTTTCCATTGTATTTTCTTCTCTTGCGAATGGAAAGTCCGAGTACCTTCAGTGTCTTAGAGGTCAAGTACTACAACGACCTCAAGAGAAGAAGAGCAGAGATCATATGTTACCTTTGCTGAAAGACGGCCAAGAGCTCTTTGCAGAAAAACTCGCCATTCTTAGAGATTCTCTTCAGATCCTGATACAGCAGATTATACTGAAACACAATATACAGCCTAATTAAACAACAAACCATCTATCTATCTACCGTTCTATCAATTGTTCAAGAGAATAGCAATGCCCTAGCAACCAAGCAGAACACCATTGTAACCACTCAGGACATCTTTGAAACTGCCTCTAGCATCTAGTCAATCAGTCTTGTCTCTCTGTCTAAACTTTCAAACTTTCAGATGGATTAAAAAAATGTTGGTGGACTTTTTCAAGTAAGCTTTGTCAAGTTGACAGCAAAGTCCAGACAAACTTAACTCTTAGTTAATAATAAACAATATGGAGCGATATTGTGAAGCAGACATCAACACATCTGTACACCATTATGCTCTACAACAAATATCAAGTTAATAGTTGAATTTATTTGTTTTGACAGTAGAGTTAAGAGAATTAAATGGCTCTAGACTCACAGAACAGCTGCTCAGCGGGTCCTTCATCTTCACACTGGTCGTACTTTAACTCTGCAGATCGAACTTTGACCGTCTGTTCCTGAAGAATGCATGCGGAAATCACCTGTGTGCCTGTGCAAGATTATGGCATCATTAACCCTCCATAAAACCAGAGGAGTGGCGGAATGCAGCTTCAGTCTTTGCTATAGCAATCAATGTTTCACTTTTGTCGGCTGGTTTAATGTTTGTCTTGATATTGCCAGCAGACAGTACTATAATAAACAACCATTCAAAAGTCTTGAAACATCTATTTTTTCCCCTCACATTTCAGAATCATAGTTAATCAATAAAATATGAAATTACAAAAATGGAAGAATGTGCTTTTAAAAATGATTTCAAAAGATGGTTTTTGCACTGATGCCACTGAATACTCATTTTGGCTTGCTTTCAGTAAACCATTTTTAAAGGAATAGTTCACCAATAATGAACATTTGCTAAAAATGTACTCACTCTGAGGTCATCCAAGATGTAGATGAGTTTGTTTCTTCATCAGAACAGCTTTGGAGAAATGTAGCATTACATCACTTGCTCAACAATCCTCTACAGTGAATGGGTGCCGTCAGAATAAACAGCTGATAAAAAACATCACAGTAATCCACACCAGTCCAGTCCATCAGTTGACATCGTATGAAGTGAAAAGCTTCATAAGTAAATTTTCTTTTTTTTTGGTTAGCTATTCCTTTAAAAGAAGTTTAAAGGAATCCTAGATAATGATATATAGACCCAAATTTCCATTAAATTATGTACATTTATATATTTTTTGAGCTTTGATTTTTCTGTAGGTTCCAGCTCTGGACAATCAAAAAAATGTGTTTTCTCTAGTCTTTGTCAAAATGTTTGTAAAGAAACTCATTAATGGCACAATTTATTACAATGTATGACTTTTTAAAGAATGCTGGACTCTGGTCAATTGTAGAATTCTGTGGTGAAATATTTGCATGATGCTGAACTGCAAACAGTCAAATTGCAACAATGGTTGATTTAAAGGGTAAAACATCTGAACTTTAAAAAACTAGGTATTTATGCTGTAAGCAAGAAAGAGAGACTATTAAAATTTGTTGTTACATTGTATGTTTTTTTTCTTGGTAGTATTTCTTTTAGTTTAATAATGCTTTGACACTTTTATATGCAAACAAAATGATGAACTTAAAAATGAATTGAAATTGCCCATATTTGCTAGCTGTTTGCGATGAAAAATGATGTTTGTACATAGTTCTGGACAAGTGGATCAGACCGAGCACCACAACACTCTTGTAGCCAATCAGCAATAAGGGGGCGTTTCCGTTCATGATGGGGTGAGAGTCAGAGAATGAACAAGCGGGAGATTTGTAGAAACACTGCAGAAAGAGAGACGTTACCAAAGAGGAAATGTCAGAGGACCATCAATGGAAAAATGAGAGCCAGCCCAGCACCCGCGTTAATATAGGAAAGGTTTTCCAGCGCTGGAGAGACGTTAGAGAGCGGAGAGTTGTTTCACAGAACCAAGATATACTGTAGCAACGGGATAGTTTTCAGTGTTTGTCTGGAGCTGGTGTGCTGGCGACTAATAACGAACTCTTGTGATATCTTCCCTTTTTGTTTTCGGGTTCCGCTTTTCTCACATCTTGTCACATGTGTAATGGATTTGTTACTTGCCTATCGCGTTATTTAGGGAACTCGGAGCTGATCATGAAACTGCATTTGCGAGTCAATGGGGAGTCGACTTCAAAAGAGTCGATTCCGCGACTCTGAATAGCCGTAGTGTCGGGGTCGATTCTAGCGCTGGCATCTTGTTGTCGACTTCGTTGCCGTGTCTGAAATCGCTCACTTTCACTAATCCCTATATAGTGTTTCTCGTGACTTTAGCTTCTTTAAAATGTATTGGCAACAACTAGGAAACGATGGTGTACTCCTCATTTCAAGGTGTCATCTCTGAACTGATCTTTTAATGTAAGGCTTCGTGTCGAAAAAAACCTACATTTAGTGTGCAATATACGACTGCCATCTTGTACATTTTTCTTATTGATGACCCTGTAAGTAAATGGAGCTGAGGAGTCGATTCCGGGAGTCGACTCTGAAAAACATAATCGAACACCCCTATATTAGCATTTGGGGGCAGAGCAACGTGTAATTGTTCTAGTCTCCGCCCACTCCTCCCCCTGCACCAATCAGAACGCTCATATCCACATTGATCAAAGCAGCTGTTCTAGACCTGGAGGATTATAGGGTTAAAGCTGATGTACTGGAGCATTTTAAGGTTTGACTCCAAGATGGTCAAATCTCTAAAAATATGTAATCTTTCCGGCTGCAAATCTTCTGTGTCTGCTGTTTATAGTTATATTAAGTTTTCATTATTATTTGGGATCTCTTTAGAGGTGCTGTATCCCCACAACACCTTAAAAAGACCGTTTCTTATTAGTTATCCTCTTCACTTTATTTCCCCCCTTTCAACCTGCTGGAAAGATGAATGCAGGCTGCAACAGTGCCATATTAAAGAAAACTGCTTCAAAATACCATAAAATAACAATATCCCTCACATCTAATCTTAAATTAAGATAAAATAGAAAGACCGATGCAGCCAAAACAACAAAAGCAGCCAGAAGTGTTTTGGTCTGTCGTGTTTATTTAAAATACATGGCAACATAATTCATTAGTACCGCTGATAATCAGTTTTCCAGCAAAGGCAGAGAATACAGTTTTTTTTTGTTTGTTTTTTTAAATCTTCGCCTTTTTGACATCAAATGTAAACCACATAACACAGCAACCTGGCTAATTAGCTGTAGCGCTTCTCCAGCTCAAAACAGACAGCAGCAGTGACCTTCCCAACACTGAAAGAAACAGCATCAAAACACTCGAATCAAAAGCTTTAAATAAAACTTGGCTGAATGATGATCAAATGCATGAGGAAAACCAGAAGAATCTTTTATTCTAAACTAAAAAAAATCGAAAAAAAAAAAGAGACAACATAAGTAAGACCAGTGTTTGGTGCCACTTATTCATCAAAGTGCATGTAAGTATGTTCATTCAAACATGAATAAAAGTGTGATAGTTTGATATATTTCATGGGATTCAATGAGAAATGATCATCAAATATAATCCCGGGACATTAGATTCTTTATACCTGCTGTGACTTGATGGTATTAATCAGTAATCATTTGATAAATTTCAATTTCTTTCAAGTGAAATCACATTGAAATACTTTCCAAAGGTGCAAGTTTCCTACTAAAACACTTTACTTAAAAGAAGCAGAATTTTTTCCAAGTCGGGCAAGATTTCTCGATAAAATACAATAAGTGTCCCTTTTCTTTTCAGCACCCAAAACACTAATACAGGCTTCCCATTATCAACGTACACTACCGTTCCAAAGACTTTTATTTTGAAAGAAATGAATACTTTTATTCAGCAAGGATGCATTCAATTGATCAAAAGTGACAGACATTTAAAATGTTACAAAATATTTCTATTTCAAATAAATGCTGGTTTTTAAACGTTCTATTCATCAAAGAATCCTGAAAAAAGGCATCACTACATGTATTTCCACAAAAATATGAAGCAGCACTACTGTTTTCAACATTGATAATAAGAAATGTTTCTTCAAATCAGCATATTAGAATGATTTCTGAAGGATCATGTGACACTGAAGACTGGAGTAATGATGCTGAAAATTCAGCTTTGCATCACAGGAATAAATTACATTTTAAAATATAATCAAATAGAGAACAGTTCTTTTAAATTGTAATATCTCACAATATTACAGTTTTTACTGTATATTTAATCAAATAAATGCAGCCTCGATGAGCAGAAGACACAACTTTCAAAAACTTCTCGCCAACCCCAATCTTTTGAATGATAGTGTACTTGTGAAAATATGTTTGGTAAAGGAATGTCATTGATTCGTCATAAACCACTAGTTCATTTGAACAAATGATTATTTTGAGTAAATTGACTGACTTGTTGTTACCCCGTTCCACGAAAATGACGCTGTTGCTCGTGTCGGAGCTGATGCTCAGCTGGGGAATCTGAATCTCTCCATTTAAATCATGTAAATGATAGTTACTGCATAACCTTCCTACAAATAATTATAGTGCATTGCTGGGCTTAAATGTAGCATCTGAAGTTGTCATGCAACGTCACAAAAATAAAACCAGCGTGTTCACAAGATAAATGCGAGTCACCGCATTAAGCATTTCCAGTTTAGACTGCTTTGTTGACGATAATCAAAACTAGATGTTTTGATGTTATCATTTCCTTATTTGAAACCAGCAGATTTAAGGCCACATACATTATATGCAAATACAAATGCAGATGTGAATACTTGCCGATGCAGTGCAAGTTATTCTCAGTAGTCAACCTGGCGAGAAACCCAGCAAACAAAAATGTTCTGAGAATGTTTTGTACCTTTCAAGTTATTAAAACATTTCACATTTTCTATGGTCATTCAGAATGTCCAGTTTTTCAAAAATGTTGTAAAATGTTTTTATTTCTTGGTTATACAAACATTAACAGTCCATTTTATAATTTTGCAAACATTATGGGAACATTACCGTTAAACGTTCTGAAACAAATACCATTGAAAAAAATTGGGGGGGGGGGTCATGAATGGTATATCATCATGGTATAACGTTTTTTTTTGCTAACATTATTAAAGATCAAATAACTTTGAACAAACATTGTATTAATGTTACAGGAAGAATGTTTGTTCATAACTGACAGAAGTTTTCCAGAATGTAGCCAAAGTTATGAGAAGTTACTCATGTCGGTACTAGTAAACTGTCAGTGTTATTAAAACGGTTCAACTAACTTGCTTCAACTTGCAAGATTCTGTTCAAAATATTGTGCTTTGAATTGCAATTTCTTTTGGAATGCACAAAATCAAGTATTTAACATTCATATACTGTACTTGCGTAAGGTATATTTTGGGAAACTTTTGTGGATGCTCGTCTAATGTTTTTTAAAAGTACATTTAAAAGTAATGTTCCCATAATGTTTGAAAATTATAAAATTAATTGTT